TTGCGTGCTCCAGTGCTCCCTCAAAGCCACCCGCCCGCGGCCGCCAGAAAATCCCGAAGACCATCGTCGTGCTGGACCCGTGGTACGACCCCGTGGTGCTCAGGCGCCGGGCGGGCCCGGGGGAGCAGGCGGCGCTCCGGGGGCAGGGCGGAGCGGAGGCGAGGGGAGGGGTCAGCGAAGGCCTCCGGGGGCGGGGAGGACGACCGGGCAGGAGGCCGAGGAGGAGGAGGAGGAGGAGGAGGAGGAGGAGGAGGAGGAGGAGGAGGAGGAGGAGAGGGCCGACCCTCGATCCTCGAGGTTCGGTCCTCGATCAACGTCGATCAACGTCGACAGGAGGCCGAGGAGGAGGAGGAGGAGGAGGAGGAGGAGGAGGAGGAGGAGGAGGAGGAGGAGGAGGAGGATGGGCTGCCCGCCGCTGCGGCAACCTCCGAGCAGAGTCCAGGCTCGGCGGAGCCAGCGAGGCGCGCGCGCCTGGCGGTCGCTCCTTCTCTTTCTGTCTCTCCCCTGTGTTTTTTCTGACACCCCCCCCTCCTGGCGCAGGCCGGGCGGAGGGTCGAGGGCGCCAGTATTTGGTCTTTCTATCTCTATTCTGGTCTTTCTATCTCTACTTCGCTGGTCTTTCTTATTGTCTGCAGCTCCAGCTCCAGGTGGCGAGGAGAAGGGGGAGCAAGTATTGACATGCAGGGTGGGAGCAGAAGAGAGGGTGAAGGAACAGAGGAGGATGACGCTGACGACGACGACGACGACGACGACGACGGCGACGACGAGAACGACGGCGATGACGATGGCGACTTGCCTGGACCAGAGTCAATGCTTGGCATCGTTCGGACGTGCGCATTTTTTCTCGGCAAGGACCATCCAGGAGCATCTGAGGCCATCCTGCGAAAAATACACGCACGAAACTGAAGCATGGACGGGGAATTCATGAGAATTGACGTCCGAGCGATGGCGAGTATGTAGCTGGGGTGGATTGGGCGGAAGTTGCACCAGACAGGGCATGTATTGAGACCCGCCACCGCAATTATACTCGCGTTCCATGCCGGTCACAAGCCACACCTGTCATCTCTGGGTCGATCGTTTGTAGACTTCCAAGCTATCTGCAGACGCACTAAACGCCCAGGTCCAGTCCGCATCCAGTTTGCCCACGCAGTTTGGGGATTTCTGGCGGTTCGAGGGCTGACCCTTGGGCGGCCAGGGCCAGCATTTTTTGCGGTTTTGGCTGTGAGGAAGGAGGTGGCCCTTTTTGTTCGCCCTGTTTCGTGCGAGGAGGAATTTGAGAAGAAGGGATCCTCCGCAAGAGGTAAACCCCTCTCAGGAAGTACAAATCACCCGCATGAGGCCCTTCGAGGTCTCCCCGACGCCGACGCCGGTGTCATCAACACTTACGCCAGCACTTCATCACGATTCTCCCAACGCGCGATCGCCTCCGAGGACGCCTGCCGAGGATGGACGATCGATGCGTGGGACGTCAAGAGAGCCTTCCTGAAAGGCGTTCGTTATCTGGAATTTGCGAAGGCTACAGGCGAGGATGAGCGCCGTGCCAATCTCGAGCTCTCCCTCAATACCGTCGCAGTCCCGCGCAAAAGAAAGTGGCGCGAGAATTTCGACCCGTCACTTGAATTTTTCCATATGGACAAGACAGGCACCGGGTGCAGGGATGCCCCGAGATCCGCGGTCAATCCAACTTCACCAATATCACCAAACAAATGTACCAAGCCATCCCCACACTATACGACAACGAGGTTATCGCCAAACAAAATGAGGGCGAGCTCGTTGTATTGGCCACCAAACACGTCGACGACATCAGAGTAGTCAGACCGCCGAAGGCAACGGCCAAATCATGTCGGTGTCTGGAGGATGCCTTTGGTACAGGTGAGCTGGACATCAGCGAAGAAGCCTTCACATGCTGTGATACACGTTGCCCCCTCCACACACGACGCAAGGGCTCCCTCGAGGGCGCGAAGTTATTCGCGCTTCGCGCTTCGCGGTCCTCGTTCCTTCTCCCCCTCCTCCTCGTCCTCCTATTCTCCCTTTGGGAGGGCGGCGCGAGAGCGCGAAGTTATTCGCGCTTCGCGCAGCGCGAAGCGCGAAGTTGGGAGCCCTAGCCTTGACACCCATCGTGCAAATCGACCTGCGCGCTCACGTGGTCGCACTCCAGCGCCACGCAGCAGCGCCGACGCGCGGCCGCGTGCGGAAGCTCAACCAGCTTGCGCGATGGGCACGGGCCAAGCCGCCGCGAACCCATTATCCACCTATGCGCAGCGCAAACAAACTAGAACACACAGCGATGCAGCATACACATATATATATATATATATATATGTATCAGGCAAGCGCCGACGCGGAATGGGCCTTGCGATGGGGCCACCTTCCTGCGCGCGGGTGCTCTTGACGCGGGCGCCCAACAGACATTCGTTGGCGGGCAAGCGCGCCGCCTACGAGATTGGCAGCGCGGGGCGCTGCAAACTGCGACGCGAAGCCGCGCCCACAAGGGGGCCGATGGCCGCGACCAGCTTGAGGGATCGCGGCCTTGCTCTAGCCGACGCGCTCCGCGAGCTGTTCGAGGGGCCCCGACGCCCTTCAGCAGCACGTCGCCAACGAGATGGTCGGCAGCCACTCGCCCTGCAAATTGAATTCAGCTTGGATTCAACGGGGGCGGCCACCGCCGCCGCAGCTACAGGGCCCAAGCCCCCGGCAGAATATGCACAGCTGCCGCGCGCGCGTCGGCTCCGCGACCTCCTGAGTTCGGGCCAGCCCCGCCCCGTGCCAGGAAGGCGCGCGAGATTTTGGAGGGCGAAAGAGGGGGCCTGCAACAGGGGGTCGTCAATGGGGGCTGAGTGGCCCATGTATGCTCCATGTATCGCTCATGTATGTGATCGGGAACGAGTGGCATCCAATGCTGGCGGTCATGGAGGGCCAGTCGCTCGTGCCCGCGCGCTGCCCGCGCGGGGGCGCGCGCCGTCCATCCATGATCGTTCATGCGCGCGGGCGTTCTCGCATTCTGCGCGGGGGGCTGCGAAGTGGAGTGCAAGTGTGGTTTGACCGTGCGATGGATGATCGCGTATGTTCCCAAACGATGAACTATCGACCCCCGAGACAGATCTGGAATGGGTCCAGCGACTCCTCCAACATTTGAATTCACATTTCCTTTTTTTTTTCTCCCCAAAATGTGAATTCACATTTTCCTTTTTCACAAACTGTGAATTCACATTCTGGTCCCTTCAGAATCCCACACAAAATTTCAAATTGCGAATTCGCAATTTCGTTTTTTTCCCAAAATGTGAAATCGCATTTTCCTTTTTCCCAACATGTGAATTCACATGTTGCTTGCCCCCTCAATGTGAATTTACATTTTGCCCTGGCCTTCGATGTCCCCCAAACTGAGTCGCAGCGTTCCGCGCGTCAGATTGGCTGGGCAAATTTTGCCCCTCACCTCACCGCTTTCGTTTATTTCAACCTTGTCTTTTGCGCCCTCAGCACACGTTGCCTCTTCGTCGCCTTTCCCGAGCCCCCCGCCCCCCTTCTTCGCTCCCCCTCAAGTCTCGCGCGCGGGCGCAGGCGGGGGGCTTCCATTGGCGCCCCCGCCGAAAACAGCAATCGAGGATGCATCGCCCATTCATGGCCCATAAAGACACTATTGCTGGTGCCCTGCGCCCGACCCCCACTTTCACCTTCCAGGAGATGCGATCGCGGACGGGCCGACCAGAGGCAACGCCGATAGATCTGCACTTCGCGACGTGGCCCGTGGCTCTTCGCCAGCGGCCACGCGCGCCGCGCGCTGCCGCCCTCGCGTTGGCCGGCAAGCTCGCCGCGCAATCGGGCCATTAGCGCAAGCAGACTTCTGGCAGCTAGCAACTACCATCATGTGCGCGTGAACTGCATCGTGCCCCATCTCCCGCGAAAAAAGCGCCCGTCCTTGCTCATGTTCACCCCCTTCGAAATGCCCGCCGCACTGCGCGCCGCGGCTGGAAGGCGCGTCGCCGCGCGGCAGTTCGGGAGGTCATGTCGGCGGGGGCCTCGTCATCGCCATGTTCGGCATGCGACGAGGCGCGCGCGCGTGCGCGCATGTGCGCGGGCGCGCGGGGCAAGGCAGTAGTCGTGGGCATCAGGAGTGAACGTGCATGAAGCCGCGGCCGTTTCTCTCAGGAGCAGGCTTGCGCGCCGCCCCGCGCGGGCGCCTGGCGAAGGTCGACGCGCGCTGGCGGCTGCCCGCCGTCGCGCGCGTGTGCCGGCGCACCTCCAAGTAGCCCGCCAGAGCCTCCTGGGCCGCCGCCGCCTCGTCGCTCGCGGTCCGCGCCATTTGCGTCGCCGTCGCCCGCGGAAGGAGGGCCGCCGTCGGAATTCGCGGCGCTCGCGACGCCCGCAGGTCGAGCCGAACCGCGCGCTCGATCTGCGACGCCACCTCCTGGCGCACCGTCGACGCGTGACATCCCGAAGGCGCAGCCAGTCATGGTTCGCCCTCCTGGCGCGCCCCCGATGACGCTTCCACCAAGACAGGAGCACTTGCGTCATTTGCAAAAACGGTTTCTGCAGTCCAAGGAGGACGGGCGCGTCCAGCACATCGCTTTAACTTCATCTGCCGTTCGAGGCCGCGCGTTCGGGTTCACTCCTCGGCCCCGCTCTCGCCCGCCGCCCCCCCGCAGGCGCTGCGCAGCTGCCGCGCGCTGCGCGCGGCTGCTGCCCGCCAGCGAAGCCTCTGCGGCGGCTCCGCCGAGCGCCCCGCCGCCCCCCGACGCGCCATTCTCGGCGCTTGCGATTGTTTCGCGGCCGCCCAGCAAGAGCGACGCCGACGCGGCGCAGTTCATTCAGAGGCGGCGCGTCAGCCACCCGATCCAGAGGCGCTGATGCGCGGGGGCCCGCGCTAAGCGCAAGTCGCGAGGGCGGAGTTGCGAGTCGCGTTCACCTGCGAGGCTCGTCGGGCTGCGGGCAAGGCAAACGCCGCGCGGCCGATTTGCGACAACGAGCCGATCGTCCTTGCCCTGGCCGCGCGCGCCGCCGAGCCGCGCGCCGCGCGGGCCTCGTGGGCCGCGCGACAGAGGGCCGAGTGCCTCGCGGGCCGCGCAACAGAGGCCCGAGCGCCCTCACCAATCTTGGTTTGTGGCAAGGGTTCGGGCAAGACCCTCTCGGCCATCGACGAGTCGGCCCTTGCCCCCTCTACCTAGAGCGGCCGGCCGGGCCCCTAGAGGCCAGCGCCGCCGACGCCGCGGCCATCGCGATCCCCGGCGCCAGGGCGCGTGCGCCGCGCGCTCGTCCTCGTCGGCACTTCCCACCAGAGACTCCGCCCGGGCCCCCGTCTCTACCCCGGGGCCGCGTGGCGGAGCTCAACGAGGACAGCGCGGCGCGCGGCTCGAGCTGGAGACCGACGCTGCCCCGCCCTTCAGCGCCGCGCCCGTTTTGGAAGGCGAGGGCGGGGGTCGCGGTGCCCATCGGCTCTTGCGGGCGCGCCGCGGTCGCGTCGAACCAAGACAGGCAATGGCAAGAGCAAGAACGAGCCCATGCCAGAGACCGACGCCGACCTGCCCAGCAAGAAGAATAATGATAATAAGAAGTAACATAAGAAGAAAAATAGTATGAATAAGAAGAACGCGCAGGGCAGGGCCGGGGGGGAATCTCAAGCGCTGGCGCGCCAGCCCGACCCTCCGCGCGGCCGCCGCCGGCGAGCCGCGGGCAGCGCAGAGGCCGAGGAGGCCGAGGCCCCTGGCGCTCCCAGTGGGGGGTTGGCATTCGGTCGTGATGAACGGGGGGGGGGAGGAGGAGGAGGAGGAGGAGGAGGAGGAGGAGGAGGAGGAGGAGGAGGAGGAGGAGGAGCAGGAGGAGGAGGAGCAGGAGGAGGATTGCGGTGAGCTTCGAGGCGATTGCGCCAAAAAGTGCGCGCGCCTCTCGCGGTCTATCTCCATCCATCGCCATCCTACCTGCCAGGCCAAGGCGTCTTCGCACCTCCGCCTCGCCCCTCGCGCGACCCCGGGGCCACGGCGTCGCCTAAAAGTCTCAGGACAGGCCCTCAGACATCACGCGCGCGGCCCGAGGCCGCCAACTTTCACGCATGCGGCCTGGGAGAACTCACGCCACCATCGCTCGCGCGCGCGAGCTCCTCCAGCGCCGCTCCTAAGAGCGCGAGCGGGCTACCCGTCCAAGGAGAGTCGCTCGCGTTCCGCCACGCGGCGCGCCTCCATGTCAGACAGCGACGGGGTATCCCTTCTGAGTCTAGAGTGTGCTGGGGTTGGACAGGTATGGTTCCCTTTTCCCTTTGCCTTTCTTCTCCGCCGAAACTGTTCGATCGCCCGCGCGATCCCGACTCAAATCGGATGCTCTTCCGCCGTTTGGCTTCAGCGCCGGCGCGTGCCTGAGTGGCGCGTGGAGAAGTTCAACACTTCAGTCAACATCATGTTGCCGCCATGCTTTCTCTCGTGCAGCTTCCAACCCCCACAATTCTAGTTCCGTTTCCTTCTCATCTTCCTCCTCCTCCTCCACCTCCTCCTCCTCCTCCTCCTCCTCCTCCTCCCTCCTCCTCCTCCTCCTCCTCCTCCTCCTCCTCCCTCCTCCCTCACAATTATTCAATATGAATACTATTCTCCCTCTTCCCCTGATGGCGTCCTGGGAGTAGCCGACCCCCCCCGCGTACTGTTTTTTTACACAGGATTCCCGGGAGTTGGGTTTTCGCCTGCGTCTTTTCTCAAAATGCTGCTCTCGCTGAGGCGCCGGCCTCATTTCTGCTCCCGAATCGTTCCGAATCGTGCTCCCGCTGCAGCGTGGGCCTCATTTTCGGATCGGTGTTTTGCCCCCGTCGTTCAGGAAGGCGTTCTCGCCCCAGCGCGGGCCTCCTTCTCGCGCGCCCATCCGCCCGCCACCACCGCGCCGCACCACGCCCCGCCCCGCCGCACGCACACCCACCGCCACTTCCACCCACCAACGCACGCACGCACGCACGCGCACCACCACCGCGCACCGCCACCACCACCGCACTACCCCACCCACCACCACCACGCTACACCGCGTCACACCACATCACACGCGCGCACACACAGACACACACGCACGCACGCACGCACGCACGCACGTACGCACGCACAGCACACACACACACAGACACACACACACACATACACACACACACACGCACACACACACACACACACACACACACACCAACCGCCACCACCACCACCGCCATCACGCACGTACGCACCTGGCCCACCACCAAACCACCAAGACGCCACACCACATCACACCACAGCACACGCGCACACACGCACACACACACACACATACACACCACCACCACAACAACCACAACCACGCACACACGCACGCACGCACGCGCACCACCACCCACTACGCACACGCGCGCGGAGCCACAGGTCCGCTACGACACGCGTCCGCGGATAGAGAAAATCAGCGCCATGGTAAGGAATGGGAGGGAGGGGTAGGATGTCAGATGTTGACGCGAGCGCACCTAACTTGCCCCCCCCCCCCCTCCTCCCCCTCCCTCCCTCCCTCCCTCCCTCCCCCCCTCCCTCCCTCCCCCCCCCTCCTTCCCTCCCTCCTTCCCTCTCTCCCTCCTTCTCCTCACTTCCTTCCTCCCTCTCTTCTGGCCCTCGGCGCCCCTGGCCCAGCTATCCCCTCTCCTCTTCGCGCTGCCACGCGGAGGCGCTCGTGGGTCATCTGGGAGACGTGCGCCGCCTTGCCGCCCCTCGCAGGGAGAATGGTGGTGCGGATGACGCTGATGCTGATGACGATGATGATGTTGATGCTGATGCTGACCATGATGATGATGATGATGATGATGATGATGATGATGATGATGATGATGATGATGATGATGATGACGATGAGGAGGACGATAAGGAGGACGATGATGACGATGATGATGATGATTGATGATGGTGGCGATGTTGACGACGACGATGAGGATGATGAAGACGACGATGGTGATGGTGATGATGACGATGAGGATGCCGATTATGATGATGCTAATGATGCCGATGCGGATATGATGGTGGTGGTGATGATGGATTGCGATGCTGATGCTGATGCTGACAATACTGATGCTGATGCTGCTGAAGATGCTGCTGATGCTGATGCTGCTGCTGATGAAGCTGATCATGATGATAATGATGATGACAATGCTGATGATGATGATGATGATGATGATGATGATGATGATGATGATGATGATGATGATGGTAGTGGTGGTGGTGATGATGATGATGATGGTGGTGGTGTTGATGATGCTGATGATGCTGATGCTGATGGTGCTGCTGCTGCTGATTCTGATTACGATGCTGATGCAAATGCTGATGACGATGAGTATGATGATAATGATGCTGACGCGGATAGTGGTGGTGGTGATAATGGTGGTGATGATGATGACGGTGATCATGATGATGATGATGATGATGATGTTGCTGATGCTGACGGTGATGCTGATGCTGATGATGTTGGTGGTGGTGAGGATGATGATGGTGATGGTGATGGTGGTGATGATGATGATCATGGTGATGGTGGTGATGGTGATGATGATAAAGGTGAAGGTGGTGGTGATGAGAATGATGGTGATGCTGATGCTGATGATGATGATGATATTGAGGATTATCATGATGACGATGCTGATGGTGATGATGATGGTGAGGAGGAGGATGATGATGATGATGATAATGATGATGATTAGGATGATTATGACGATGATGTTGATGTTGATGGTGATATTAATGATAATGCTGCTGTTGATGACGAATATGGTGATCGTGACGATGATGAGAATGATGATGATGAGATGATGATTCTGATGGTGGTGATGATGATGGTGATGATGGTTACGATGACACTGATGATGAATTTGATGATGCTGATCATGATGCTGATGCTGGTGATGATGAGGATGATGATGATGATGATGATGATCACGGTGATGGTGATGATGATGATAATGATGTTGATGGTGATGAGGATGAGGATGCGGATGCGGATGATGGTGGTGACGATGATAGTGGTGTTGATGATGACGATTTTGATGATGATAAAGGTGATGGTGATGATGATGGTGGTCTTGATGCTGATGGTAAGGGTGGTGGTTGTGATGATGATGTTGATGCTGATGAATGTAATGATGCTGATGCTGGTGTTGATGATGATGATGATCATGATCATGGTGATGGTGATGATGACGATGACGATGATGGTGATGATGATGATGCTGGGTGTGATGATGATGAGGATGTGGATGAGGATGATGGTGGTGATGGCGATGGTGATGGTGATGATGATGATGATGATGATCATGATGACGATAATAAAGGTGATGGTGGGGGTGATGGCTGAGGATGGTGATGACGGTGATGATGAGGAGGAGGAGGATGATGATATTGAGGATGGTCATGCCGATGAGGACTGTGATGATGATGATGATGAGGATCGTGAGGATGGTGAGGATGGAGATGATGATGGTGATGGTCATTGTGATGTTGAGGTTGATGGTGATGCTGCTGATGTTGATGCTGCTGTTGATGATGCTGATGATGATGGTGATGGTGACGATGTTGATGATGACGATGACGACGACGATGATGATGATGATGGTGATGGTGATGGTGATGGTGATGATGATGATGATGATGATGATGATGATGATGATGATGATGGTGATGATGCTGATGATAGTGACGATGATGATGAATGTGATGATGCTGATGCTGATGATGATGAGGATGGTGACGATGTTGATGATGATGGTGATGTCGAGGATGTAGGATGATCATGAGATGGGGTTGATGAGGACGATCAGGATGACGACGATGCTGAGGATGAGGATGATGATGGTGATGATGTTTGTAATGATGATAACGATGATGATGATGCTGATGATGATGATGGTGGTGGTGGTGACGAGGATGCAGGATGATCATGAGATGGGGTTGATGAGGACGATCCGGATGGCGACGATGCAGAGGATGATGGTGATGATGTTGTTGATGTTGATGATGATGGTGGTGGTAGTGGTGATGAGGATGCTGATGATGATGTTGATGATGATGATGATGATGATGATGATGATGATGGTTGTGGTGGCGGTGGTGATGTTGATGAGTATGATGAGTATGATGGTGACGTTTCTGCTGCTGACGATGATGGTGTTGATGATTATGATGATGGTGACAATGTTGACGATGATGATGATGATGATGATGATGATGATGGTAATGGTAATGATCATGGTGATGGTGATGATGATGATGGTGATGATGATGATGATGATGATGCTGATGATGATGATGATGCTGATGCTGATGATGATGATGATGATGATGATGATGATGACGATGATTAGTAGTACTGGTATTTTTCGTATTATTATTTCTAGTAATGTCCATATTGTTAGTGCCATTCGTCATGTTCTTCTCTTTTTCGGTTAGCAGTATGAGTATTACCAGTTGTATACGCATGATTATTTATGGTGTTACGTTTGTTGTTACCAGTGTCGCTGAGGTGATGAGTATTGATCTCCGTGTTACCATTTGCACAATTATTTGTATTCCCATATTTGTTATCATGGTGAATCCTTCTAGTAGGCTGATATGACAATGAATACGATTATGACGACGATGACGATGCCCATGACGATGCAGATGTCGATGAAGCTGACGATGGTGGGGTGGTTGTTTTGGTGATGGTGATGAGGCGGTCGATGGCGATGATGATACTGAAGAGGAGGAGGTGGAGGAGAAGAGAAGGAGAGGGTGGAGGAGGAGGATGGGGAGGGACACGCGGATGCGGATGAGGAGGTGGATGGGGAGGAGGCCAAGGCGGAGGCGAAGGCGGAAGTGGAGGAGGAGGAGGAGGGAGAGGAGGAGGAGGAGGAGGAGAAGGAGGAGCAGGAGGAGGAACATGAGGAGAACATGGCGAGGAACAGGAGGAGGGGAGGGAGAAGTGAGAGAGTAACGGAGGGGAACGAGAGGGGGTTAGGAGGAAGAGGAGGAGGAGGAAGAGACGGAGGAGGAAGGGGAGCAGGAGGAGGAGAGGACGGAGGAAGGAGGAGGAGGAGAGAGGAGGAGGAGGTGGAGGGAGCAGGAGGAGGGGGAGGAGGAGGTAGGAGAGGAGAAGCGGAGAAGAGGAGAAGTGGAGGAGGAGGAGGAGGGAGGAGAGGAGGAGAAGAACGATACAGGCTCGTACCTAGAGTCCTCGCAGCGTAAAACGGCGGATTAGGAAGAAGGGGAGGGGAGGAGGAGGAGGAGGTGGATGAGGAATGAGGAGGAGTGAGGAGGATGTGTGAGCAAGCAGTGAGGAGTGAGGAGTGATGGAGTGAGGAGGATGAGGAGGAGGAGGAGGGGAGGAGGAGGAATTGGAGGAAGGGAGGAGGGGAGGAAGGAGGAGCAGGAGGGGAGGAGAGGAAGGGGGGGAGGAGGAGGAAGAGGAGGTGGAGGGAGGAGTGGGGAGTGAGGAGTGAGGAGTGAGGAGGAGGAGTAGGACGTGAAGAAGAGAAGGAGGAGGAGGAGGAGGAGGAGGAGGAGGAGGCGCAGGTGGAGAGGCGGAGGTGGTTGATGGATGTGGAGGTGGAGGCAGGAGGTGAGGGTAGGAGGGAGGCAGACAGGAGTGAGCTGGGGGAAGGGGAAACTGAAAGGAGGGGCAGTGCTGGAGGGACGGGGCAGCAGGAGGGAGGGGGGGGGGGGATCTTTGGCTGCAGCTGCCATCAGAGCACCGACGGTGACGTTGGAGCGAGGCGGGGGGGGTGCCGCGGTGCCCGAGGGGAGCCCCGTGCGGCGCTCGCCCCCGCCCCCTCCTGCCTGCAGCCGCGAGGTACGCGACCATAGCGACGGGATCCGAGATCCACTTCGCCATGCGGCCGAAGACGAGAGAGAACTTCAGCCTGGCCATGCTCGACTCCTTCGAGCGGGTCAAGATGGCCATGAGCCAGGCGCTGGCCCGAATTCTTCCCCCGCCTCCAGCGCGTTCTCCTCCTGGGCCTCCTCCTTGCCCTCCCTCCTCCCTCGCTGCGTCTCGCTGCGTCCGATCGCCCGCCTCCTCGACCTGCGCCCGCTCCTCGTCGCCCTCCCCTCTCCTCGCTGTCGTGTCACCGTCATCCTCGTTTTGACGTCCCCCTCGGCTATCGCTCCTGGTCTTCCACGTCCTCACGCGTCATCCTCCCCATCTTCCCACTCGACCCCCTCCCTTTCTTCCCCGTCGTCCACCATCTCCTCCTCCCCGTCATCGGCTTCGTCCTTTTCGTCGCCGTCGTCCTCCCCCTCCTCATTCTCCTCCTCCTCCTCTTCCCCCTCCTCCTCCTCCTCGTTTCCTTCCTCGTTCTGTTCTCCTCGCGTGCCCGCCCAGGCCTGGCACGCGAGCAGGGGGGCGCCTGCCCTCGGACGGTCTCCGATCTCACCCGGGACCGGGCTCCAGCGCTGGAGGTGAACGGCTGCGACCTCCGCAGTCGGCTCCGCCACCACCACCAAACCAACTATTCTTTTTTTTTTTTCTTTTAATCTTTTTGTTTTTTTATAGATGTTCCACCACCACACGACCACCACCACCTCCACCAACACCACCCGTCACCACACCACCACCACCTACCACCACCACCAACACCACCACCACAAACCACCACCTACCACCCACGACCACCAGCCACCACCACCTCCACACCACCATCTCCACCACCAAACCACCAGCCCACCACGACCACCACCACCAACCATCCACCACCCACCACCACTACATCCCACAACAACCACCACCACCTCCACACCTCCCACCACCACCAACCACCACCACCACCTCCACCACCACCACCACCATCACCACCACCACCACCACCACCACCAAACCACCACCACCACCACCACTGCAGTGAACATGCCTGGTAAGGATGAGCAACTTTCCAAGGTTACCCTCGCATCCTTGCCTCGTCGGTCATCTTCGGCCCATCATCGGCCACTTTCGATGGCCGGCCCCGCTCGAAGTGCCTCGGCAGGGGCGTCCAAGGCCCTTGCATCCTTAACGCGCATCCTTATTATACGGGTTGACTGTACCCAGTCGGATGCTTACTTCTCCTCATCCGGGGCGCCGTTTCGAGCGAGCCTCCTCTGACCCGCCTCTGCCCCTGCCCTACGTCCCCCCGGACGTCGGGAGAAAAAAGACGGGTGACCATGACGAAGGTGTCGTTGGATTTTGTCGTGGCCGATCCTTGTCATGGCCGATACTGGCCGTGGCCGATTCTCCAGCTGACAATGGTCAAGATGAGCGATGAACAATGTCGACCCCGACGTTTCGGCGTTCAGTGCTGGTCATGGTACTCTTTTTTCTTGTACTCTTTTTCCTTCTCCTCCACCGAGGCGAAATCCATGCCGAAGATAGGGTCGGCAGCCTCCGAGGGCTCTTGACAGCGGGTATCGCTCGAGGGTTTTGCACGGTGGCAGAGACCAGGGCCTACGTCGTAACTGCACGAGCCAGCCGTATCGAAGCACCCGACCTATCTCCGCTTCCTCCTAGTCTCCCGAGCCGTTTCTCCCTTCCCCCTCCTCGGCCGCACCCCTCTCTCCGCATGGCTGGCTGTCATCTGCTCGGAAGCCAAATCAAGCCACATCTGTTCAGACAGTGGATGCCCTGCTTATGCCAAGAGAGACAACTCCAGGCCAGCCACGACTGGGGGAGCTGTGGTCCTTATCCCCCTGGGGGACCCATCGATTTCGACACCCCTCTCGAGAGATCGTCGATGCGATGGGGTCCCCCAGGGGGGTAAGGACCACAGCTCCCCCAGTTGTGGCTGGTCGGAACTCTGCACAGAGACTGCCCTGTGTGGCTGTGCGGAGCGGGCGGCGTCGCGGCCAGCTCTGGCCCTCCGGCTCCTGTGTCGCGCTCGCGCGATTGGGCGTTGCGTAATGGAGGGGTCATAAATGGGGGGGTGGCGAGGGTGGTCCGAAAAGGTACCCAAACGGTACCTAAACGAGCCCCCTGGGGGTCCGGAGGGGCTCGAAAGGGGCACGAAAGGGGACCGTTTCTGACCCCCCCATTTATGACCCCCCCATGGGGCCACGCCCAACGCGAGTGGTCCGCCCTGCTGCCGGGTGCTGGCATGTGCTCCTCGCCGCCACGGGGGCAGGACCGGGCACGATGTGTTCTGTTGCATTCTTCGGGGGGCCTCGCCTGCCCCCCGCAATCGGGGTCTTTTTGGGGGGCCCGACGCGCGCTCGATGCGGACTCGACGCGGGTTTGGCACGGCTTCGACGCGGATTCGGCACGGATGCGACACGGATCCGACGCGTCCGACATGGATTCGACACGCATTCGACGCAGACAGGGCCGCGACGGGACAGACAGGGTCCCCCGAGGATGCAACATAACGATGTGCGGAGCACCTCTTCCTGGGAGGACCCCGGCCCGTGGCCCTGCACGGCACATCCGCCCTCCTGGGGACCACGAGTGCTCAGCGCGCTGGGAAAGTGCTTCGGGCGGGTGGTCATGGGGGCTGACCTAAGTGGGTGTTGAAGAAGAGGGCCCTAAAGGGGCCCTTTAGGGCGTCTTCTTCACCCCCAATTGAGGTCACCCCCCATTACAGGTGTCGGAAGCAATTAAGCAACACTCACGCGTAACATATGGTTTAAATTCCCCCCTTGTTTACCCCGAGTGCAATGGTGGCTTCGGATCTTCCGAGTTTGTCTGTCCGAGCGGTGATGCGTAAGCGTGCCAATTTTGAGTTGCGGGCACGGGGGAAAGTGCTGCTTATCGTAGTGGCCTCGGCCAGTGCCGCCGATCTGGGGCGCTCCCGCTGGTGCTCGGGTTCGCTTAGAGGCCTATACGGGGCCGTCTTGAGACCCTCTTGGGGCCGGAGGAGGCTTCTGGGGGGGGGGGGAGCCTTTTGGGGGCCTCTTGGAAGCCTCTTTTGGAGCCTCTTGGAAGCCTCTCTCCCTCGGCCGTAGCACCCGTCCGAGCGCCGGCGGAGCGCAGGCGGGGCGGTGCGGCGATCCCTGCCTCTGCTCGCGCCCTCGCCCGCACGCCTCGCCCCCGCGCGCCCCGGGCGTGTGCGCCCCGCCTGGCCTGCCCCACCAGGGGAACCACGCCCCAAGAGAGCCCCAAGAGCCTTCCGAAGAAGGCCCCGCGATGCCAAAATCACTGATGGTCCACTGGTATTCCATGGTTTGGAGGTCCCGAACTTTTGTAGCTCCAGACGCTCCGAGGCGACCCAAGCAGCCCCCAGGACCGCCCCAAGACGGCCCACGAGGCCCCCACCCAGGAGGGTTCCCGCACCAGGGGAACAGAAAGTGGCATAAGCATAAAAACTCGGAGGTCCGCGCGGATTTCTCGGATCGGCGCTGGGGCCCCCTCCCTGGCGCGCGGAGCGCGCTGGGGCCCCCTCCCTGGCGCGCGGAGCGCGCCAGGGGCGGCGCCGGAGGCGCCGCCGGGGGGCCCCGGTGCCGATCCGAGAACTCCGCGCGGGCCTCCGAGTTTTTGTGTTTGTGTCACTGTTTGTTCCCCTGCCCACCCTTGTGGGCTGCGGGGCCGATCGGGCAGGCGACGGGGTCCGCGATATGTGGATCGCCACTGGGGAGACGCGTCCCGAGGGGGACGGGCACGGATCGGGCGAGCAAGCCTATGCGCATGCACCGATCCTGGCCAGGCCCGTCCTGGGGCCCAGGATCGGTGTGTGTGTGTGTGTATACAGTCGGGGCGCTGAAGAAGGAACCCTTTTCGTTGGGGAGGGGCTGCGTGTTCCTTAACTGTTTCGCAGCTTGCCTTAGGTTTGCCTTAGGTTTTCGATCTGAGATCGAAGTTTAATTTATGGAAAATAAGGGGTCTCGTTCCTTATTTAGGGTTCCTTAGGTCAACGCCCCGACTGTATGTACATATATACATATATATATATATGTGTATACACTGACAGACAGGGCTGCAGTGGCGCTTCGCGCCATGCACCTTGGTCCTTGAAGGTTGGTATGCAGGCGGACTAGCAGGAAGGTCAAGCCGACAATTTAGCGATAATTCCTGGTTGCCTTTTCCAACATCGCCGCTATAATAATGTGATTCGTTATTCCCTACCTAGGTTCTGCCTAGAAAGGTTCGTACTCTCTATCTTAAAGGGGCCGGGCAGTGGGGCTCGCCCCGGGCGGTTCCCCCGGTATCCACCCCGCGGTTCCCCCAGTTACGTTCCCTTAGCTTAGCGTTGCTTATCTCATCTTAGCTTAGCTTATCTCATCTTAGCTTAGCTTAGCTTCATCTTAGCTCAGGTTTATCTTAGCTTAACTTACCTTCATCTTAGCTTCGCTGAGCTTTCGCATAGCAGAGCACAGCATAGCATCGCATAGCGTAGCATAACATAGCGCAGCACAGCATATCATAGCATAGCCCAGTATAGCATAGCATAGCGCAGCATAGCATAGCATAGCGCAGCACAGCACAGCAGAGCATAGCACAGCGCGGCATAGCATAGCATAGCAGAGCATAGCATAGCATGGGTGTAATTCCCTACCTAGGCTATGTCTAGATAATTAGCTTACCATAACATAACTTAGCATAGCATAGCATAGCATATCATATTACAGCGCATCATAACATAGCCTATCATATCATAGCATAGCAAAACATAACATATCATAGCATAACATAGCATAGCGCAGCATAGCTTGGCATAGCATAGCATAGCATAGCAACTAATGCTGCTTTCCTAGGGACTCCAACTTCTAGGTAGGGTCGCACTGGGGTAATCCTTCCTCCATGTTTCTTTTTCCTCATTTTCGCCATGCCATGCGCATTCTCTCCATCCTCCTCAGCTCTTTGTGCGGAGGCCTCACAAAAGTTGTGTCAGGCTTTCTTAAGGCCTTCTGGAGGCCTCCTGGGCGTGTTCTGGGGGCCTCTGGGGGCTTCCTCGGGCCACCCTGCCTCCAACCGCGGTCTCCCTGAACGACCGGGTCACGATTTGGAATGCTTCGGAGGGTGTCTTGGGGCATCTTGGGCCGCCATGGGGCTCTCTGAGGGCCATCTTGGACCCCTGTTGCACCGTTTGGGGCTCTTCTTGGGACTGCCTTGAAAGCCCTTTCGGATGTTGTGGGGCGATTGGGGCGATATGGGAGCCTTCAGGCGGCTTCTTACGTCCCATAAGGACCTCCTTCTTGTGATCCGTCTTGAACCTCCTAAAAAACCCGAAAAGAGGGGAGTATAGAGGAGAGTAAATGAGAGTAGAGTAAGTAAGAGAAAGTATAAAGACTAAAAAAAAAAAAAAAAAAAGAAAAAAAAAGTAAATAAAAAAAAAAATAGGTGCAAGAAGGAAAGAAGAACCCCGCTTGGTGTCCAATTCACCACAAACCAACAGAAAATCAAGGAAATTTTAGATTTTTTTTTTGCCTCTTGGGGCCCTTCTTGGGAGTGCTCTTGGAGGCCTCTTGGGACGTTCGGGACAGGAACCTTATGCCAGGTTGGCCCCGCAGTATGACGGCTTCTCGGGGGTCGTCGTGGACCGTATTGGGGCTCTCTGGGGTCGTTTCGGGAGCGCGCCACGCCCTGCGAGGCCCGGGGGGCCGCTTCGAGGCCCGTCCAGAGTTTCCCAAAGCCCGAGATCCCGGGAGTCCGGATTTGGGGGGGGGTCCCCCCGCCCAGGCTTATAAAGATATCGGAAGAGGAGTATGCCTCCCTGGCCAAGCAACGAAGACGTATGCACTAATCCTGAGCTCAGGATAGGCCTGGCCAGAATCGGTGTATTTGCATAGTTCTCTTTCCTCTACTTGAATGTTCCGCCTGCTTGCTAAGTGTTTGCGGTATTTGTTCCTGACTGCCTGCTTGCTCAGGTATACTTGAGATCTTGGCGTTGTATTTTTTTCACAAAGGGCGTTTTCGCCCTCCTGTTCCAGGCCTCGGGGCCCTCACAGATCGATTTGGCCCGAAAAGCGGCACAGAAAGATGGGGTCTAGGGCTGCAGTCGTCATGTTTTACGATGTTAATTTTTGTTCGCGACGTTGGATTTCAGGGGGTCCTGAGGTTTTTCGCCGTTTTTGGCTTTCCGGGCCCTCCGAGGGCCCCGGGATTGTCAGAAGCTAGTCAGGATGAAGAAAAATTGGTCCTGGGGGAAGGCCCTGGGGTCCAGGACCCGTTTTCCCAAGGACCTGCGTGAACCACACCGCTCGCTCAGACTGGCAGGCACATCCAAGGTCGACGTGTTCCAGCTCCTCCCTATCCTCATCCCTCCCTCTCCTGCCTCTCGTTCCTCTCCTGCCCCTCCTGTAGCCTGCACCCTCCTTCTCCCTCCTCCTCCTCCTCCTCCTCCTCCTCCTCCTCCTCCTCCTCCTCCTCCTCCTCCTCCTCCTCCTCCCCCCTCCTCCCTCGTCGTCTTCGTCGTCTTCCTCCACCTCCTCCTCCTCCTCCTCCTCCTCCTCCTCCTCCTCCTCGAGGATCCTTTTCCTCCTTCCCTCCCTGTCCCCCCGCCTACCTCTGCTCCTGCTCCTGCTGCCGCTTACTCTGCTCCTGCTGCTCCTGCTCCTGCTCCCCCTCTGGCGCCCCGCACCTTGCATCGTGCGCGTCCGTCCCCGTGGAGAGTGCGCCCGCCTGGCAGGTGGACGTGACCAAGAGCAACGCGTACGTCGAGAGCGACCGGGAGATGATCTTCGAGGATCGCTCGAAGCAGTGGGCGCCTGCTGCTCGTGGCAGCTCAGCCTGCCGAGCACGGGCACTTCACGGCTCGAGCCATCACGGGATGGGGCCCTCTCGCTCTCGCGGCTGACGCAGCTACTGGTCTTTGTCCTCCTCCTCCTCCTCCCGCTCCTCCTCCTCCTCCTCCTCCTCCTCCTCCTCCTCCTCCTCCTCCTCTTCCTCCTCCTCCTCCTCCTCCTCCTCCTCCTCCTCCTCCTCCTCCTCGTCTCTTTTAATTCGAGTAATCACTCGTGAGGCGCCTCCACAATCGAGGCAGTCCTTGCGATGAACCAACCTGGCAACGCGACAGCAGCAAACGTGTCGGCCTGGAGTGAATTCTGCGTCAACAAAAGTGTCAGCACGATGCTCGCTGGGAGCAATCGGGAGTTTGCCGAGCGAACTTCCTGGCGACATCGCTGGCAACGCGACGCGCGCAGGGAAGGGGGGCAAGAACGCGCGGAGTGAGTTTCCTGGCAACAAAGCTGGCAACGCGATGCACGCAGGGAGCAAACTGGTACGCTTGAGAATGGGCTTACAGATGCTTACAAGCTAAGGCGTTGGCAACGCAGCGGTCGCTTGAAGCGAGCAGGGCAGGGCTGAGGTTCTTGGCAACATCGCTGGCAGCTCGATGCCCAGCGCCTGCGGGCGGGCATGCATGGAGTGATGTTCCTGGCGACACCGCTGGCACCGCGGGTGCGCCGCGAGCGAGGGGGTACGGCATGCTTGGAGTGTGTTTCTTGGCAATGCTGCTGGTAGCGTACTGTGCGCCAGGAGCGCGCGGATACGCTCGGAGTGAGCTCTATGCAGCAGGGAAGCAGCTCGCGATGTGATGTCCGCGAAGAGCGAGCGGGTACGCCCGGAGTGAGCTTCTTGGCAAGACCCCACGCAACGCGATGCCCAGCGCACGCGAGCAGGTGTGCACTCTGGCAGGTCCACACGATGTGGGTCGCGAGCGATCGGGCGAGCGCGGAGTGAGCTCCCTGGCAGCAGAGCTGGCAACGTGATGTGCGCGGGGAGCGAGCGGGCACAGTCAGAGGGAGTCTCTTGGCTGGCAGCAGCGTTGGCAACGCGGTGTGCGCAGGGCGCGAGCGGGATCTCGTGGAGTGAGCCTGGAGAAGGATCACTGGAGCTTTTTGACTCCGTCGTCGCGCTCCCAGTCACTGAGGATAAGAGAGCCCCCTAACACGAATGACACGATGAAGACGTGGCCTCACCGAGGTCCCCGTCTTCGCATTTGGGGAGAATACTTCTGGGCGGATTGGTTTGGTACTCCTGCAGAGAAAAGACCCCTCAATTATTCCTAGTTCCTGGCCCTCGTAATTCAGGTCCCCTCCCACAGGGTTAGGGCTCCTTTTTCGATCAAGCACCAAGGGTCCTTTTCGAGGCCACTGGACCGTCGAGGAACTATTCTGGATGAAGCATTGGTGTTTTTGTCTTGAGATTTTGTCCAGGCAGCAGTGAAGCGCTTTGGTCGTCGCCTGCGATACCTCTCTGAGCACGTCACCTACAACCTCTACTGCAACCTCCCACCCACCCCCACCTCCTCCTCCTCCTCCTCCTGCGTACTCCTTCTCCTCCTCCTCCTCCTCCTCCTCCTCCTCCCTACACACAGTGCCAAGTCCAAGCACCTCCACGAGCATCCAAGAAGAACAGCAGCACTTGGAAGCTTGATTATAAGATACGCGATGTGAGGGAACGAACGGTAGGTTCACATGAGGCGCGCTGGGGGGGCCCCCCACGCCAGTGCGTCCGGTGAGGGAGTTGTTGCGTGAGCCGATCAACGAGGTCGGCAATTCTAGACGCTTCGCGTATCCCCACCAGCCCGTCCAGAAATGAGTCCCAGGGGAGTGGAGGTTATGAGGGAAGCGGGGGAGCATGCAGAAGAACAAAGGGCGGGGTGAGCCGCCATATACCCCAAGAGGGGGAGGATGTAGGAGGAGCCGTCGTCGTCGGAGTAGGAGGATGAAGAGGAGGAGCAGGAGGAGGAGCAGGAGGAGGAGGAGGAGGAAGATAAGGAGGAGGAGATGGAGGACTGCGAGGACGAGGAGGACGAGAAGGAGGAAAAGGAAAATGAGGAGGAGGAGGAGAAGGAGGAGGAGGGGGAGGGGGAGGAGGGAGCAGTCAAAGAGGAGGAGGAGGAGGACAATGGCGAGCTTGGGGGCCTCTTGGGCCGTCTTTGGGGCCTCTTGGCGGTCCCGGGGGCCTCTTGCGTATCTCGGGGGGCCTCTTGTGGCCTCTTGGGGGTCTCTTGGGGGCCTCTTGGAGGCCTCATGGGGGCCTTTTGGGGCCTCTTGGGGCTCTCTTGGGGCGCTCTTGGGGCGCTCTTGGGAGCCTTCGAAGCGCTCTTGGGGCCATCTTGGAGGAGATCTATCAAAGAAGGGGGGTTCCCCAATTAGCGCTGCCCCTCTAGAGTGCCTCGAGTCGCCTCTTGGGCGCCCCAAGAGGCCAAAATCCTTCCAAAACCTAGGTAAAATCAATGTTTGTTGCTTTCTCGCCTTTTCGCTCTCGGAGCCGTCTTGGGTCATCTTGGGCTCTCTTGGGGCCTCTTGGGGGTCTCTTGGCAGCGTCTTGGAGGCTTCTTGGGGGCCTCTTGGGGTCTCTTGGGGCCCTCTTGAGGCGCTCTTGGGGCGCTCTTGGGAGCCTTCGGGGCGCTCTTTGGGCCATCTTGGAGGAGATCTATCAAAGAAGGGGGGGGTGCTTATTAGCCCCGGCCCTCCAGAGTGCCTCGAGTCGCCTCTTGGACCCCCCCAAGAGGCCAAAATCCTTCCAAAACCTAGGTAAAATCAATGTTTTGTGTTTTCTCGCCTTTTCGCTCTTGGAGCCGTCTTGGGTCATCTTGGACTCTCTTGGGGCCTCTTGGGGGTCTCTTGGCAACGTCTTGGAGGCTTCTTGGGGGCCTCTTGGGGTCTCTTGGGGCCCTCTTGAGGCGCTCTTGGGGCGCTCTTGGGAGCCTTCGGGGCGCTCTTTGGGCCATCTTGGAGGAGATCTATCAAAGAAGGGGGGTTTCCTTATTAGCCCCGCCCCTCCAGAGTGCCTCGAGTCGCCTCTTGGACCCCCCCAAGATGCCAAAATCCTTCCAAAACCTAGGTAAAATCAATGTTTTGTGTTTTCTCGCCTGTTCGCTCTTGGAGCTGTCTTGGGCCATCTTGGACGCTCTGACACCTCGCGACCGGCCCCGTCCAGGTCAGTGGGGAGGGGTAAGGGGAGGGGTAAACCCCTCCCCGAAGGGGAAGAAGGGGGTTGGCAGAGGAAACTCCCTAGACCACCTACGCCCTAAAGGGCTGGTGGGATTCTAGGTAAGCTTGGTGGGGAAACAGTCGAAAAGACCCACCCAGAGGAGGGAGGGGGAGGGGAGAGGGAACATGAGGACGAGGAAACAGAGGAAGATGAGGAGGAGGAGGAGAAGGAGGAGGAGCAGGAGGAGGAGGAGGAGGAGGAGGAGGAGGAGGAGGAGGAGGAGGAGGAGGAGGAGGAGGAGGAGAGGAGGAGGAGGAGGAGGAGGAGGAGGAGGAGGAGGAGGCATCCTGGCCAGAAAGGCTCTCGCGGAGGCGCAGCTTGTGAAACCGCGGGTCCAGGTCCAGCGTGTGTTCGGTCGTTCCCTGGGTGCTGCTCTGTATCAAGACAGTTTTGGGGACACCATCAAGCGTAGGATTGCATCATGGGCCGTGTGGCCACGGACAGCTCCTGCTCTGAAAGCCATCGACTGGCTTGCTCTCCGCTCTCGCCTATTGCAAGCGCCACCATCGTGGCAGATATGCATTGTCAAGACTCTGGCGGGTTGGTGGGTGACGGAGAGGAGGATGTCGCAGAAGCATTGCCAGTGTATGTTCGGTTGTATGGAGGAAGAGGCCTCGGACAGGCAAGCTCACTATATGTGCTGTCCCAGGTTGTGGGCCGCGATTTGGGCTGCCTGGTACCCCGAGACGCCTCTCCCCCAACCCATCCTCTCGCGGCTCGTCCTACATCGCGCGCTTACAGATACGGAGCGTGACGTGGCGTGCCAGCGTATGATCATTGCATACTATATGTACAACGCAGACCGTCGTTGCCCCACCCAGTCTCTCGATTGTTCGGCACGTGCTGCACGTGCCCAGATGCTGCAGCAGGCTGAGGTAGAGCGGCGAGGACGTTTGGACGTTCCTGGGCTACGTGCGAGGAGGAGGGGGAGGAGGGGGAGGAGGAGGAGGAGGAGGAGGAGGAGGAGGAGGAAGGAGCAGTACGTAGGAGTAGGAGCAGGAGAAGGAGGAGGAGGAGGAGGAGGAGGAGGAGGAGGAGGAGGAGGAGGAGGAGGAGGAGGAGGAGGAAGAGGAGGAGGAGGAGGAGGAGGAGAGAGGAGGAGAACGGGAAGGAGGTGGAGGAGGAGGAGGAGGAGGAGGAGGAGGAGGAGGAGGAGGGGAGAGGGAGGAGGAACAGAGAGAAGGGGCAGGAGGAGGGAGAAGCAAATAGCCGCTAACGTCGACCACCCCGCCGCTGATATTGCCGCCGCCGCCGTGGATCGTCTGTTTGACGTTGGCTGCCTCGGCCTTTGCGTCCGCATCCGTAGCCGTTTTGGCTCAAGCCATTTTGGCTCAAACCATTGTGGCTCAAGTAACACGTTTGTCGAGGCAGCTGGCCAAGTCAGCGCGGGGCCCGTCCTCGCAACCCGCTTCACAAGAGGCGGGACCATCTTCGGCATCGCTTCGTACTCCCCTTACAGCCGGCCGCAGCAGGCCACCGCTCCTCTTTCCCGCTCCTCGGTATCATGGGAGGGTCCAAAACCAACCGTCTCCGCTCGTCTGATGAATCGCAGGATGGTCGCAACGGAAGCCGCCGTGCCCGTGACGACGCCTCATCTCGCAGCCGTTCTTACCCACATGGACATGACTTCCGAAGCCCGTCAAAGGAGCATAATGACACAGGCCTCAAGTCAGACCACCTCATTGGCAACATGGAGATGTTGTCACAATCCGTGGCCAACCAAGGTCAGAATGTAATGGCCGTTCGCAGTGCTTGCATTTCCTCCATGGAACGATGCTCACAGCTCGTAGATCAGATGGTTATGATGGAACGTAAATTCCACAATCAGCACATCAAGCTCCAACACGTTGTATCGACTTCGGTTCGATATTTGGAGCAGAGCATGCACAAGCTACGAAGCAACATTGCTGCTGGAAGTACTCATGGTAATGGTGACAATATGGATGTGGATGCTGCCTCCTACATGTAATGTGGTCATAATGAATTCACAATTGGAGAACATCGAGGCCGCACTCAATGAACTGAATCTGCGTCAAGGGATGTCCGAGAAGCAACTTGCGCGTGGTGCAAAGACCCTGGCAGGTTCGGCAGACGCTGGGAACTGCAGCTACAATACCCCCGGGACCAAATTGCTACAGTCCCCCTTGGTGTTGGGGGTAATATTGGACGTAAAAGTCGACATTAATAGATCCTCTGGTCTGCTAGCCCTGCAAGATACAACTCCTCCTACTTCTCCCCCTGCGGGTCATTGCGAACGCTTGCGCCGGGGAGGGGGTGTCTAACATCGGAGGGACCCGCTGTGACGAAGGCTACCTCTCGGCACCTCTGCCGCACGACAGCGGCGTAAAGGGGTGTCGCAACACCGAGGTGACCCCCTCTTGTGAGGACGGTCGCCCCTCTGCACCGTCTGGAAGCCCCTGTATCTATCAACTGTTAAAGGGCATTTTCTGTGTACCGCCCTATCCTAGGTTTCAGGCGCGGCGGAGGGGCAGAGAGGCTGCATACTTCACACAAGCCCCCTGACCCACGCTCTCAAGCCTGGGGGAGAGGGAAAGGAAGAGGACGGAGGAAAAGGATGCGCATGCTGGTCTGCTGCCAATCTGACGGCCCCCGTATCTGTCCACGCACCCGCGCGGGTATCAGCAACAATATACATGAAGGGTCTTCATCATAGCATGAATGTAAATGTGCATGAGGGGCCTTAGCCCCTGCAAGTGCATGTTCACGCATAGGGGGCTGAAGCCTCAGCATGAATGATGCGTTGCATGAGGGTCCAGAGTCCCATCATGCTTCTGACGCGCTGATCCAGTCGATTCGGGGCCCCGCAGCGTAAGGCCACATCCGAGACGGTCCTCCTCCTCCTCCTCCTCCTCCTCCTCCTCCTCCTCCTCCTTCGGCAGTCGCACGAGATGCATTACCTCCACAGGGCAGCGTCCTGATCCAGCTGTATGGGGGTGGGCCGTCCCCAGTCTTGCACTTTTGTAGAGGGTATTCTTGGCAATGCCAACACCGAGGCTGAGGCCCCCAATGCGTCGGGCAAGGAGGCAGAGAGCTACGAACTTACGGATTTCGCCTGTAGCCGCACCCGCGCATCATCCTTGATGTTTGCCGCCGTTGCCGCCTGCGTCATTTAGAGTTGGGGGCTACGGACCACTGCTCA